AGGCTGTGGTGGTTTGACCTTGCCTGGATGCTGGGTGCCCAGCAGAACTGCTCTGTTTATTCTGTCCTCAGCTAGACAGGGGAAAGAAAATATAATCAAAGGCTTGTGCCTTGACAGAAGGGAGAGAACACTCATCAGATATCACTACAGATCAGAAACCTGCCACTTGGGGAAAATGCTTGAATTTATTACCCATCAAAATCAGAGATACATAATGAAAGGTAAATCGAAAGTTGAAAAAAAGCCCCTTCACCTGACTTCCCACTCCTTCCTGGGCTTAACTTTACTCTCAATTCTCTACCTCCTCCCTCTCAGCTGCACAGGGAGAAAGGGAGTGGGGGTTATGGTCAGTTCATCACACATTTCTGCCATTGCTTCCTCCTTAGAGAGAGGAGTCCTTCCCCTGCTCCAATGTGGGGTCCTTCCTGTCGGGGGCAGTTCTCCATGAACTTCTTCAGTGTAAGCCCTCCTTCCCATGGGCTTCAGTTCTTCACAACCTGCTCCAGCGTGGGTCCCTTTTCACAGTGTGCAGTATTTCAAGAAGGTGTGGGACTCCTCCACAGGCTGCAGGCTAATTCTCTGCACCCCTGTGGCCTTCCATGGGCTACAGAGGGATCACAGCTCTGGCACGTGGAGCAGATCCTTCTTCTTCAGATCTTGGTGTCTGCAGGACTTATCTCACATATTCTCACTCTTCTCTTCTCTGGCCACAATTACTTCACTGCAATAATTTAGTTTCCCTTCTTAAATATGCTATCCCAGGGGCATTACTGCCATCACCTATGAGCTCAGCCTTAGTCAGTAGTGGATCCATCCTGAAGCCCACTGACATTGGCTCTGTCAGACAAGGGGAAGCTTCCAGCAGCCTCTTACAAAAGTCACCCTTGTAACCCTGCCCTGCCACCAAAACCTGGCCATGCAAACCCAATAAGCTGGCCTTTTTGGATCACCCCTGAAAAGAAATAGGACAAGCAGCAGAAATGTGTTTTAAGGTCTAAGATGACTGACACAAGAGAGCTAAGACATGAAAAATGTGAAAATTTTTATGGGATCCTAGCTTGTGGATCTATCACTCCTTGGGTCATTTCACTGGATTTTACATGACCCTTATGACCATTTTGTTATTTCATTTTTCATGTGAAATACAATTTTCTCTGAAAATGACTGGTACTTCTATTTGTACTGGGGTGACAGAAACTCTATATTCTGCACTAGAAAAGACTGCTCATTTCTGAGAAAGTCTTATTAAACTGATAGACAGTAGCAGTTGCCAGCAGCTCACATCTCAAAGCTCTCATTGCCTTACTATTTCATGGAGTCTTGCTATTTCATAAATATGGAATAGCTGCTTGTTTCTAGATTTGATTAAAGAATTTTACATGGGTCTCAGGAAGAAGGAATGTTAATATAAAACAATCAGGAAAAATTGTCCCATACCAGCATAAGTAACTTGTGCCATTTCAAAGAAATTCTGCTTCAGAAATTAAAGGAATTATTCACATTTTCATTCTGGTTTATATTTTGAAACATTCTAGGTTTATCTCACTTCCCAACAGCAAAATTTTGCAATGCTTCTGTAACACATACATTTACATTTTCCATAATACAGAAAATTAAATTCTACCCAGTACCACAAATAAATTTCACTTAATTATTTTTCTCTTTTTTGTTGTTGTTGTTTTGGGTTTTTTTTTCTTTTTTTAAACAGTCTTACTAGACTAACAGTTACAGCAAGAGGGAATTGAAGATGAGATTTAGTAACAAGAAGACTCTTTTCATCTTTTCATCTTATTAATTTCAATAACTCAAATAGCTAGTAAGTCCTCATTTAGAGATAATTTTCAAAGACACAATTACAGTATTAAAAAGATGGGCAGTACTGTAGCATCCATGCAATAACATGGATTCAAGAAGCACAAATTAAATTCCATTTCTATAGCAGACTTTATTGTGATTGAGTGCATGTTATTTGCATTTCTCAGTACCTAATGTATAAGAAACACCACAAACACTGGGATGAAGAAAATGTATTACTCATGGTAAGAAACTGAGGAAAAAGCCATACAGAAGTCATTGGCTGTGTGGCACATACCTATCACTAACATCTTTAAAAGCTTCTCTTGCAGATTAAATTTATTATTTATTTATTATTGTGCTTTGAGCACAATACTATACTTACTATATAAAGGAAATATCTGCATACAGGCAGTAATAAACTATGGATCCATATAATCTGAATAACGGACAAAATATAAAAACTGTTTGCAACATTTAAACTGTAGAATGATAAAACGCAAATTGCCAATGAAGTGACAAAATTAGTTTCCATTCATCTAAAATTAGATATTAGTCTTTCTTTTCTGATGAAATTAATTTTTGTGAACTGATATGAACAGAACTGTGAAGCTCCTATAACAATGCAAACTGACAAATTCAGTGCTACTTCCTCCTTCTGTTTATCCAATCCCTTTTTAACAGACTCCCTGAGCTCTGAAAAGCTGTGGATTGATTATGATATCCTGTGTCTAAGGGAAAATCACATTTTCAGACCCCAAACCCTGGGTGCATTTGAGTTCTGTCATAAAACCTATTTCTCTTTTCCAAAAATTAGTATTCCTGACACAAGAAGTATATTACAAAAATACATATATATTTACAAGAACTTTATTCAAGAAAATGATATAGAAATATGAAAGGGGGCTTCTGTCATTGAATGCAGATGACAACTAAGTATAAATGATCATTTGAAAAGGTGTTCTCTGGTAAGTAGTTCTGTAGTTGTTTTAAGCCTGAGGAAACTGATCTGTCCTGCAGCTTGCAGGAACACCAGTGAACACCTACCAATACAAGCATTTAGGTTCATTTGAACAGCGTATATGAATAAATATGTGAAGGGAATGAGCTGAGCTGAAGAAAACAATGCATTATTCATGCAGCTAACAACACTTACTCATGCCTAGTATAAATTGAAACCTAAAAGTACAAATCTAGGACACTGAGATTTTCAATCAATGCTGAGTTATATTTAAATTCAATCTAAGACAAAAATTCTGAGTTCATTTCATGTTTTCAATACAGCACAGAAGCATTTCACACTTTCACTGGCTACATTTTGGAAAATATAAATTATGTAGCAGTTTTTGCAAGTGAATGATAATAATTGTTAGGTGGATTTCACTTGAGATGCAGTGGACATGAAATTAAGTAAGTGCATTGCACCGGTGATTAGTTTAATTCCATCTGACAGCTCCTGAAGAAAAATATTAAAATCACAAAAAAACTGAAAAATGAGCAAGTTTTACAAGTGAGAAAAAAGAAGCTTGATTTTACAGCTCTGTTTTCTTCAATGAAACACTCATATAACACCTTCTCTTATATGTCCTGTTAAAACTGTGAAAATAATAATTTTTAGAATATGATACCTGCTTTTTTGCAATCCATGTTATTCTAACTTCCCAGCAATTCTTATTTTTAAAATATGGAAATCATGCTGAACTCCTACACTAAGCCATTGAAAAAGCTAATTGTCATTTGCCAAGTGGAAAAAAATCTTCTTTTCTGTTTTGCATAATCAAGCCTCTGTAATGACACTTTTCCCAAAGATACCTAAAAATTTCAAACCCTGACTTTGCTTAGCCTTAATTACCTAAGGAACATATGGCTGGGAAAAAAAAAAAAAAGAGAACAGACATAGCTACTGTCCTGAAAGAAGAGTTTAATAGAATAGGAGAATATGGATCCACGAATTAAGAAAAGTCATAGTAATTTCACCTCACTAAGCCTACTTCCTTCTAACCCTGTTAGATTTTCTGATCTGAATGCCAAGACTGTTTGAAGGCAGAGCTGATTTAATACAAGCCTTACGACATCACAGCTCAGTTTCAGTTGGAGCCTACTGGCACAGCTACAAACTAATTTGCACTGAATGCAAGCAGTTCAGCCATTTCCTCTCCTCTCACAAGCCCGTGAAACAACAGGACCACGGAAATAAGAAATATGAAAGAGCAATTCTTCTTCTTACTCTAAATGCAGCAGAGTTTGCAGTCAACCTCATAGGCCTTTGCTTTCTAGCATTCCTGCCAGTGTATGTGTGCAGAGCAGAGCACAGACACCAGTGAGTTTAAAGCAGCACTTTAGTGTAACACTGTACCTGGACTAACTGGTTGTTGTTGCACAAACTAAGGCTACTTCTGTAAGAAAAGGGAAAAATGAATCCACTGTGTGGCTCTTCCACATGGTTTGCTTTTTCCACTAAACAAGTCAATTAAGTTTTATGTAATTGCCATTAGGAAAATGAACTTGATGCTGAAAAATATGCAGACAGATACAAAATAACTGTTATCAGACTGGAAATGCCTTTTCTTTTGAGGTTTTCCAGTCCTTAGAGAGGAAAGCAGCTGTAGTTCAGAAGTTACTTTAATCTACTTCTACACTGACCTTCAGAGGACTGAACAAGAACTCTGAAAGACCATAAATGAGACCAGTTCTCCCTAGGCTGGAAAGGATTAAAACTCTGCTCCAGAGGACTTTGCACTGTTTGTCTCCTAAGAAGAGTGTTAGGCAAAAAGTTTCGGTCAGATAACACATTACAGTTTCAGAAGAGTGAAAAGAAATCTGGCAAGAGCCAGATTTAAACACTTTATAATGGATTAGTCACTCAGTGTGAGCAATGTAACAGGCAACTCTGAATTTCTGCTGTACAGAAAAACTACTACACCACTGAGACCAATTTCTGAGACTATGTGGTGAATGTATCACCACATAGGATGTGGTAAAAATATCATGCCAGGTTTTGCTTTTTAAACAACAAATTCAGCCTGGCCAAAGTCTATTTGCAAGAGCAAACAGAATACTAGCTGATCAAATGTTTTAGGCTTTACACCTTCCTTGCCTCCAAAGAGAAGCACATACTGTGGTAATATGATTATAGAATTTCCAGCAGCTAGCACAGCCTTCAGACAGGAATATTATTGGCAACAGCTGCTCAAACAAGTACTCACCTCACTGTGCTCACAATATCCCAGCAATTGAAGGAGTGAGAAATTTATGTCAGTGAAATCAGCCTCCTCTGAAAGCTTGCAGAGTGTGCTTCCATAGCAATCCAGCTACTTGATGAACAATTACAGTTGCCAATTTGGCAAACTCTTTTCAAGGTTATTTAAACCTATCCAGGTTATTTCATCACTGGAAAGAAAGATTTTAATAGTCTGGATATAACCAAGTCAGCACCTAAGGCACTAACCTTCCCAAGTACTAGGCATTTCACCAAATTACTATCCAACATAAAACAGGAGAAGATTACAACTCTAAAAGGCTAAGATAAAACTTTTGTGACAATCTGACACAATTTCACTATGCATATACATATAAATCCACTGTACCTCCAGTCCAACAAAACAGAAGAGAACAAAGACTACCAAAGCAGAGGCTTAGCAGCTTCTCGCAGCGACTTTTCTCTAAGGCCATTTCTCTTCCTTTTGCTTGACTGGGTACCTTTCACATCTTCCTGCCTTAGGAAACATTTCTACTTGGCCAGCTGTCCTAGGATATAAAAGATTGCCATCTAAAGTATCTCATGATTACATAGATAATTTACACAATAAAACTTAAATGTACCTCAATGAATAGAATTTCCAGTAATAGTATCAAAAATCATTTGAGAGCGCACCACCTACAAAATATATATTAAAAAAAAAAGAAAAAAAAATAGGTCATAAAAATGAATCAAATTACCTGAAAGACCAGAGTCAAGTTATTAAGAAATTAGATGAATTTCCACAGATTTTCAAAACACATAGCTTTATGAAAATACTCATTATGAATACACAGATTATTATATGTTAGTGAAATCTGGATACAGCACAATCAGCTAAGTCTAATTTACACTGCATAAGAGGGAAAATATTAAATCAACATTGGCACTTATTGTGGCATAGGTGCCTACCACAGCCATATGGTAGAAAAACAAATACATGAAAACTCTCATATTCTTGTATGCTTTCATATTTCATATTTTGTAATCACAGTGCATGTGTAGTTATATAATTTCTTAATCTTGATTTCCAATTCCACCCATAGAAGTATAATGACATACTTCAGTATTATTTGAAAATCTGATCTCAGTTTTGATCCAGATTCCTTACTAACATAACTTTAGAGAAGAAAAAATATGTTTATCAGGGATTTTAAAATACCATTATCCTCTGAGATCTATATAAGGTGCCTGTATAGTGCTGACACAATTCCATGTAAGTCATCATAGCTGTTCTTTAGTACCATCTGAAGATCTGGACCTTATATCAGTTGTGAGGGTCCAGCAGATCTAAACTTATGCTTCTTCATTGCTCATGGCTCTTACATGTGCCAGCTGCAATGGTTCCATTGGACGAGCACGAGAAGGTTTCATGCCAAACGTTCACATATGCCTTTCCTCAATCAGCTCACCTCTATTCAGGTGCAAGAATAACTACCACAATAGAAAAAATACATTTCCCTCAAAGTTTTGGTGGCCAGAAAGCTCCACAGATAGAGCTGTCAGATCATTTGGAAACCTCAAGCCAGTCCCAAAGGTATTTTTGACACAAAAATGAAATTTCAAACTATGATGAGATGAAAAATCTGAAATTAAAGGGGAAAAATATTTAGATATCCCTGCCTCTTTCCTCTTTTTCCAAATGTCCCAGATAGGCAATTGGATTAGTTCAGTCAAAATTTTAAACTGAAAATTTTATCAGATCTTCTTAGTCTCCATCATTTCTAATTCTAATTGAAACAAAAACACTATCCACAAAGCAATATTGTAAAGAAACTGAAAGTTAAACAAGTCAAGAAAACAGCTCAGCAAAATCATCCTTTTTCAGAAAAAGTCTTTGGTTCTTATGAATTAATATTATCTGATAAGTCATTTGCCACAGAATTCTATTTTATGGGAAACTTCTATAACACTGTTTTGCCATTTCAGATGAAAATCTGGAATGATGAGAATGCAAACAGAAAATCTTCTATGATGCCATGTAAGATACCATGGGAATCCATTTCTTTTTTACTGCCAGGTGATGATATCCTAGATGTTGGGTTTTACTTAGACATTTATATCTAAAATTCTCTGTTTATCTAGAAGAAGAACTAGCTGCCAGTGTTGCATGCTGGCTAGATATTCTGAGTGCATTATCAACAATCTTCTGCTTCAGCAAATTACTTTATTAAATTTTCCTGGCAAGAGTTTACTCTGTATGAAAAATGGATGTACTTGATGCACTTCCAAATTGTTAAGTAACATGTTCTTCATGATTCTTCAAAAGATTTAAAAGGACAAAGAGTGTGGAGGTTCAGGTCAAAAAACTAGTAGATTTTTCAACAGGATGTCTTTGCTGAATGAAACACTTTACCATAGGTAATTTCATAGTCTACACACATCATTGTTTTGTCAGGTAAAGACATAGGATTGGCCTTTGTGGCCTGGAGGGAAGGAAAAGCTGTGATTCCTCTGTTGGCAACATACAACAGTTAATGAATCCTTAGTACACTGGCATTTTTTCATTAAATACTGTGCAAGTATTTTCAAAGTAAAATCCCATTGGCTATATTTCACTCAGAGTCTCTTTGGGGGCTCTTGTTGCTCTTTCAGTGTAACAGCAATAAAAAGATCAGTGTAGATGTGCTGATGAAATAATGTAAAAATGCCCATAAGATGTCTGTACTTCACTAGACTGAGGTGTGTTATTTTCTCATAATATAAGCAAAGATAAATTATAACTTGAAATACAAGTTTCAAGGTTTGAGATTTACATTTCATTTAAACAAGAATTTGAATGCATGTAAATAGGAATCTTCTAACTCATTCTGACATTGTCTATAATAAGGAAACTGCACAGTAGCAGTTTTAACAATCTTTGTCAATGTAATTATCTAAGCTGAAGCTGAAAGGCCAACCTTGAAAATTGTGTGCAGGCTAATCAGGTAAATAGGTCAGAACAAAAGATTTTAGCAGCATAATTTGCAGTTACTCATACAATCATAGAATCATTTAGGATGGAAAAGACCTCTAAGTTCATGGAGTTAATCATGTTTACTCATGAGTTAATCATGTTTACTCTAGTACAGTACATGGACATGCAAAACTACAGCCTAATACAGCATTCTGAACTCTCGAAGATCATGTTTTCCCATGGTTTCTCCTGTACAGATGGTAGATGGAAAAGCAATTATGAAAGTAATGTTTGGTATATCTATTATTGACGACTGGGGAAAAAAGGTAATTAACGAAGAGAAATTTCCAAATGCATACAGATGATTGAGTGAAGACTAGATTGACTACAAACGATGTACAAACTGCAACACACATAGAGAAAATAATTTTGGGAACTCAAAGTGACAGCCTCCTCCTTTGGATTTTTGAAAACAAGAACTAGCAATTAGTCTGACACCTAATCAGTTGCAAAGTTCCTCTAGAAATAGAACTGATTGGCACTTCAAATTTCCTCTTCACTGGAAACAAAGGCATTTCAAAATCTGACCTCATTTCAATTCAGAATAAATGCAAGCACTCTCAATATTTCCTTTGAAATACAATTAAAAATGCTGTGTTAAAACTGGTTTTTTTATGCTTATCATTACTATTTTTATCTTATTCTATTACAGGTACATGCTATATATATATTATTGGATGTTGTCAATGTGCAGCATTATTTATATTATCAAGTTGTCATACTACATAATGACATACCAAATACTCCAGCATTCTGTTTTTATATTATTTTTATATTATTTTCTTTTAAAAGCAAAAGAAGTTGCCAGATTGTTTATAATGAAATCCCTTGTTTTTAAATCAGGGCTGCCTAGCATTTTAAGAACTGTGGCTTTGTACGGGTTTTGGGCCTCCCAGAAATCAAATTTATCATTTCCCGGAGATGGACAGGCTCAGCAGTAATTTGATGAACTAGATGTGCAGCATAACTGTATGAAAATTTTACAGACCTGAGACAAATACATCCTTCAGCTTATTCACAGTTCACAGGCCAACAGTTCAGTAACTTTGCTACAAACTAGATCGGTTTTTATTTGTGCTACAATGAGACAGTGCGGTACTTTGATGCAAAATGTATTGTTTTCCTTTCAGTGCCTAGTAGCATAATGAAGAAAACAAGCTTTTGATCTTTCTGAATATTCTCTAGACACATTTTGCTCTGAATATCCTTGTCATCATAAAAATATTTGTTACTTTGTCAAATGCTCTTTATTAATCAATCCTTGCACTCACAGATAAAAACACTAGAGGTATTTCTCACAGGTGAACTATATGCATAATGGAAAATCAGAGGCAGAGGTGTATACAGACTTAATTTATGTTATCAAATGATGCAAGCTCTCAGGTCTTCCCAAGATTCATACTGCACGCATCTGAGCTCTGCTTAGGCTCTCATTTAGAACAAAATGACTAGTTCCCCTGAAACTCTTAAGGACTGTCTGACCATCCATGAGGCATTCTGGCAGTCTCACTTGGACAGAGGCCACTTCACAGCTACACACTCCACACTCACAAAGTCAGACCAGATTTCCATGTCATAGTCTCAGGCCTCTGGATCCTTTCAGTAATTCAATCACGGTGCAACCACAGAATAAAGCTCAAGCTGGTGCCTCTGGGAGGAGACCTCGAGCAAAGAACCCCCTGGGCTTTTATACCCTCAGGGAAGTCTGGGATCTTCCAGGGGAGTCCTCAGCTCCTGCCATGTCTCTCAGTGTCTGGTCTCCTGGCTGGCAGCACAGGTCCCTGTGCCTTTTGTTGTGCAAAGGTTGGTTCCAGTTCATGGCCTCTTGTCTGGGGCTCTCACCACCAGAGCTGAACCTGGAGCTGGCACTGCAGCTGCTCATGGAGCTACCAGCACTGAGTGTATTCCTCAATAGAATAAAGCTTAGGTGAAGGCCAGAGGCAATTTTTTCTGAGGACTTCGGCCTAAATTTCCTATGGACGAAATATCACTAGGGCTGGCTCCTTCCTCCTTATACAGTCCCACAACACCATTTCAATAGACCCATTCTCAGTAGAAGAGTACTGCCAAACATGTTTAGAACACCCTTGGCTGTGGTGAGTGACCCCTGTCTGGTTGTCAGGTGCCCACCAAAGCTGCTGTCTCTGCTATGTCAACAAGCTCGTGTGCCAAGATAAGGACAGGGAGAGATCACTCAGCAACTATCATGACATGCAAAATAGACTGAACTTGGGAAAATTAGTTTAATTTATAACCAATCAAATCAGAGCAGGGTTATGAGAGGGAAAACCAAGTCTTAAAATATCTTCCCCCTGCTCCTCTCTTCTTCCTTGGCTCAATTTCACTCCTGAATTCTCTACCTCTCCTGCCAAGAGCACAAGGAGATGGGGAACACGGCCTGTGGCCAGTTCATCATACATTGTCTCTGCCACTCCCCCATCAGGAAAGGATTCCCCCATTCCTCCCCTGCTCCAGTGTGAGATCCTTCCTACTGCAGACAGCTCTCTGTGAACTTCTCCAACACGTCCTTCCACACAGGCTTCAGGAGAATCTCTGCTACAGTGCCTGAGGCAGAGACCCTGGTGCCTGCAGGGCTGTTTCTTCACATATTCTGACTACTTTTTTCTCCTGATGCTTTTACACAGGTGTTTTCCACCCTTTTGTAAAAGTGTTATTCCCGAGGCGCTATCACTGTCACTGATGGGCTCAGCCTTGGCCAGCAGTGAGTCCAGCTTGGAGCCTGCAGTCATTGCCTCTGTCAGACATACAGGAGCCCTGTAGGCTCCCCACTACCAAAACCTTGCCTCACAAACCCAATATACTCACATAAACACGATCCATGTATGCAGCATATAATCCTGTTAACATCTTACAGAAATGCCACTAGTAGTCCTGAGACAACCCTTACCTGACTGCAGACATTCTCAGCAGAAAAAGCACAACTTAATAATTTATGTTCTCAGAGGGACCAGATGCATTTAGTGAATATTCTACATAGATGTAGACAGTCCTGTCTCATGGAAACCACCATTAACATTGCCTGTCATCATGTTATCTATTCAAAATCTGAGTTTTTCTCCTCTGACATGAAGAGTTTGATTTTACAGGTACAGTTGAAATGAGCAATGCTCTGTTCTGGAATATCAAGAGTCAACAGTAGCTACTAGAAGGATCCAGTCCCTGCTGGAAAATAGGGCATTGTTTACAAAGGGCAATGGTAATTCCAACATTAGCAGACAGAAGTGAGTCTTGTATAGAAAAGTACAGGTAGGTACATCATTAAACATCATTAAAATACTGGGGGTTCTTCTGGATAGTGTTTCAATGAGAGGAAGGTAGAAAAACATGAACAAAACTCTCGAAAGGTAACATCAAAATGCAGCTACAAAAGGATTAAGACACTAACTTCAAGCTAAGAGCAATCCTGCTTTGTTTTTTCTGCCCTCAGCTGCTCATTCCTATCTGCATCTTTGTTATACACACTGGCTTTGTTATATAGTCTGGCACGAAAAACACAATTTGAGAGGGTGGGAAATCGTACACAAGTACAAGAAGTTTTGAAATTACTTTCCCACCAATCATCCTGCAATACTGTGATTTCACAGGATTACCATATGAAATTACTTTTATTTATTATAAG